GAAAAAATTTAAAAAAAAAAGAACCCAAAAAACCAAACCAACCCAAAAGTTAAAAAAAAACAAAAAAAAAAAAAAAATTAAAAAAAAAAAAAAAAAAAAAAAAAAAAAAAAGCACACAAACAAAAGAAGAACCCAAATTAACTCTCAATCTCCTTCCCGATATGAGAGCAGCTGCCGGGGCCGCTAACCTGGGATTTATGTATCAAACATGAGGCCGGTCGCTGGATATACAGCACGAGAGTTCTGCCATATAGCTTGATCACTCCACACGAAGTATTCCTTCTTGGCACCTGCACGAACCCGCGCTTACCCTTTGTTGATTGGTGACTTTCTTTGGGCAAACGAATGCTCCAATCTAACAAACAATTAACAGAAGTAACCCTATCCAAATCTTCGCCCAGATCTCGAGACCAGGGTATGCACTTCCAAGTCATCGGTCAACAGTCAGCAACATCCAACGACCACGATATCCATTCCATCTCAGCGTTGAACAGTCACCAAATGGACACAAAAACCAACTACCTCGTGGCTGATCCGTGCCCAAACATAAACGCGGAGGCTTCATCTTCCACAACATCTTTGACCCTCGCCACCGGATAGTGGGCACCCCAAAAATGCCGGCGTAATACACCTTCCTACCCTTCACGCTACTTAACTAGCGACGATGGAACGCCTCCAGCATTGGTGGATTAATTCGTCATGATTGTTGGGATGCTGTCAGGCAGCGAATCTTCCTCTCCATGCAACGCACACCTGTCCATGCGCGGCCCCAATTTCTCAAAGATAGAAATTGAAGACACTATCCACCTTCAGCACACTCTGTGCCAGATGCTTGTCGGTGCTGCACGTGCAAGCCAATGCAATATCTCATTTCTGGAAGATCCAAGGACCGCGCTGGTGAGTAGCGTGGACTTTCATAGTGGTATTTACCCAAATCCAGCCAGGAAACACGCGCGTTTGCAAGAGTATATGCGATGGGGGCGCTGAGTAGCGCATGGTTTCGGGCAAAGTATTGGGAGAGGCTGGGCTTTGAATCCATGTGGAACTACCTCGAAGAGCGGTGGGCAAAGTCACCAGGCTCATGGGATGCCCATGACTTGCTGAATATGGTACAGATGTGATAGCTGGCAGATATCTCCCACCGCGAGCCAGTGAAGGGTGCTTTTGCGAAGGCGCTGGCAAGCATTCAGGCGAAAGTGCTGTTGGTGCCGAGTCAGACAGACTCCTACTTCACGCCTGAGGACAGCATGGAAGTTCGACATTCAAAGCAGGGTGAGCTGAAGGTCATTGAGAGCATATGTGGCCATATCGCTGCTGGTAATGGCGGGAACAAAGAAGACATTGAGTTCATCAAGAGCACTACCCGCGAATTTCTTACAGATGAGCACGCTCAGAGGCCTTTGAGATGCAAGATGAGATTCTCCCTCCTCTTGTGTGAGTGATTCGGGTATCCGAAAATCAGGAACGGAGGCATGATCAGTGATCAAATTAGCCATTGAACCCTTGGGCGCTATACACCTTCGAAGGCCCCCCGAGGCTTCAAAGGTTTTTGGGGTGGGCCCGACTGCCGACATTCTATGCCCATCTTTCATGTCGCTTTGTGGCCGCGCGCTACGTGATACAAGGTCAGGTGTTCATTGCAATATTTGGACGGTTAGACTGCAGGCTCTAACGATTTCTATTCGGCTCCCCAATATCATCTCATGCATATAACAGACTGGCACTTTTGTCGTGCCGTCTGGCCCGTCTCGCATACGGAGTATACTGCGGAGTTTCGCGATCTATCCCTAATCTGATAGCCAAATCAAACTACCATCAGCTCGGAATTTTAGTCATCCTCCAACTTTGCAGCCGATGAACAGGTGGATTATGAGAGGCCGATACAAACGCGAAATAATAATGTGGAGGCGCTGTGGCAGTGCATAGAAGGGAAGAACCTCTGAGCCAAGGAATGATCGTCCTGAATGCACAGGCCGATTGGTTCCCAACCTTCAAAAGGTAAGCAACGAACATTAACAGTGGAGAAAGAACTTATCTCCGGTGACATTTGATGACATGCCCACGGATATACACTTCTTTTAGGGGCATGCAGCGCTCTTGGCACATCCCTTTCGTTTCTACCTAACCTTCTTCCCCGATCAGATCGACTCACGCATGTTACAGTAGCCAATGTCAGATCTTGGCAGAATGACAGCATTGCGTGGTCACATTACTCACTTCATCAGTTATAAGTCCGATCATCTACCCTCGAAAGGAAAAGTATCCCTTTTCAATCTCCTTCTCACAATCTTTTCTGCGACCTTTATCATCAATCTCTAGTGTCATCATGAGGACGGTGACCCAGAGCATGATCACGCTCGGCATGGCAATGTCAGTCATGGCGCAGAACCTGTCTTACGGAGCCGATAACTTCTACCGCAGCAACAACGTGACGGTGCAGCCGATCAGCTTCCCAACCCAGTACCAAACGACTGTCGCGGCCAATATCTTCTATCTTAAGGACCAGAACAACAGCGCTGCGCCAGCCATCGTGGTGGGCCACCCCATGGGGGCCGTCAAGGAACAGAGTGCAAACCTTTACGCTACCAAACTGGCTGAGCATGGATTCATCACCGTTTCCATCGATATCCCCTTCTGGGGCGGTAGCGAGGGCGAGCCGCGCAACGCAGTCTTGCCAGACCTCTATGCAGAGGCATTCAGCGCCGCAGTCGACTATCTCGGCACTCAAAACCTGACATCTGTCGACCGCGAGCGGATAGGAGGACTCGGTATTTGTGGCAGTGGCTCCTTCGTGATCAGCGCCGCAAAGCTGGACCCCCGCCTCAGAGCCATCGCTACGGCAAGCATGTACGATATGGGTACTCTCGCCCGCCAGGGCCTCCAAAATTCGACAAGCGTCGACCAGCTCAAGGAAACAATCGCCGGGGCAGCTCAGCAGCGCTGGACCGAGATCGATGGCGGCGAGCCCCAGTATACCAGCGGCACTCTGAATCATCTCACGGCGAATGCCACCCCAGTCGAACGCGAGTTCTATGATTACTACCGTACCGAGCGCGGCGAGTTCACGCCTGTTGGATCAACGCCAGAACTTACCACGCACCCCACGCTCTCTTCCTTCGCCAAGTTCGTCAATTTCTACCCTTTCAGTGGCATCGAGACAATCTCGCCCCGCCCTTTACTGTTCATCTCCGGTGACCAGGCACACTCCCGCGAGTTCAGCGAATATGCTTATTCGCGTGCTGCTGAGCCGAAGGAGCTTCTTTGGGTACCCGGCGCCGGTCACGTCGACCTGTACGATCGCACCGAGCTTATCCCGTTCCAGCGACTCACCCAGTTCTTCCAAACGAACCTTTCTTGAGCAATACAGGTCAGAAGCTAGAGTATGTGAGTCTGTGCCGGTTTACTTATTCTCAACTTTCTCCCGGGAGTTGGGCATCTGGTGGTGAAATGCTCCAGGGTGTGGAGACATAATGGAACCATTCGGTAAGGAGGCTGAGACCGAAATCTCATTGGCGGCTATATGTTTGCTATCTTCTATTGTTGAGTTAAGGCCATCTTGACGAAACAGTTCGTGTATGTTCGCCAAATGAAATTATTTACTCTCAATGCTCAAACGCTTTGTCCATGTCTTCTACTGCACACCTCTGTGCCGAGTTATTTGGGCAACATACATCAGGACATGTCGGTTTTGATTAATACAGTACCATCGAGTGATGATCCAGAGGTTCCATGGATGAAGAATGTAATTATTGAATGAGCGCCTGGCCAACGTCTCAGACCTTCGTACTTATTTTGCATGAGTGCACGACCGTCAGGCAATTTAATTACATTTGCATGTAGCTCAATTTCGAGCCATGTGATCAATAAAAATGTTGAAGGTCAGCCAAATTCGGTTGATACGCAGTAATAACAGCACCACAAAAAGTCACACTTTTCCAATAATTTGCTCAGTGTGGCTTTGCTCGATGATATTTTGTACAGTACTACTTTCGAGGACCATTGGGGATGAAGTGACCAATCAAACAGGGGACTTTTGCTGACATGGAGTCCGTAACCTAAAGTCCGCCACTGCCCAATCGGTAACCTGATCTTGGCAATGTGGCGATCCACTTGGCATTTCTGAAACGCAGGCGACCAACAGGCAGACAGGATTTTCGGGCTCGGTAATCTAGTGGAGGCGCCAGTCTGCAAGATGCACTTCCGACCCCACCTAGGTTTCATTCACCATCAACGTCGACTTTTAGGGTGTCAGCATATCGCATAGCTTATCAACCACAGCATGTAACGCGGCGGGCTTCGGAAGAAGGTCCATTCACTAAAAGAGACTAAAACTAGGGAAAGAAAGGAGAAAGGGAGCTACTGGGAGAATTTGGGAGGGTTGGGTTCCCGGGTTCGGGTGTGGATGCCTCACCCCCCAGGCACCCAACCCCCCGATTCTCACACTACCCCCACTCAAAAATCGAGCTCAGCCTCTGAGCTCCGCCAGACTATCCGTTTTAGGAAATATATACCAGTTCTCCCTTGATCACTTAATCAGTTCCTTCATCACATTCTTCGCTTGGTGGGAGGTTTTATAATCTTAGCGTCGGATTTAATCGAATAGTTATTCTTGGAATGATCTTCCACTTCTTTATCGTTCAAGGTCTTCTCTACTTAATAATTTAACCATAATGGCGGCTCCAGCTTTTTTAGATACTTCTTGTAGAACTCTATCATCTTCTGCAATATATAGTATATGTTCTTTACAGGATATTATATACTATCGAGATTATTGCTCTCGAACTATATCTTGTATTATAGCTTATTGTAATATAATTATATATTTAGAATATACTCTATATCGTACTCGTCTTTTCTATTAATCTTTATAAATAAAGGTAGATTAATATATTGATCGACTAATACTTTTCGTTTCGGACTACTTACTAACTACAGCTTTTCTAATACAAAGATTAGATAAATATTATATTCTAGAAGAAGTTCTAGTCTAAAGAAGTAACCAACTTACTTAATAATTTAGAAAGAATCTATATTATAGTTAATCAACTTCTTATTCGATTACTTTTACTTTAGTCCTTTCAAGATAAACTAAATATAGTCTTCTATATTAAACTTTATTAATTATTATCTTTTATTAATTTGCTTCTTCTACTACAACTAGATTATAACTATTTTCCTATAAGTATTATTCTAAACAGCTTCTATTCTATATATAAAATCTATTACGATAGCTTTGTTCTTTATAACTACTTTTTTTAATATCTACTAATTGAATAATATTTTAGATTTATACTTTTGTTTTATATAAAATAAAGATCTATTTATCAATACTAATAGGAGTAAAACTATTATTAGATCTATTAAAAAAAATCATTCTAACTAATTATTTTAATAATAGCTAATATATAGTTATAGCTACTATATAATATTCTAATTTACTATCTCTATTTAGCTATTAGTCTATAAATATTATATAACAGAGAGCTTTTTTTTAATCTCTAGAATTCGATAGAATTCCTACTAGAATTCTAATATAAACTATAAATTCCTATCTAATATAATAAAGTTGAAGAGATTTGTTTACTTTATAATATAGTTAACAAACAGTCTTACTATTTCTTTTATAGTAATTATCTTATAACAAGAAATTGATACTAATTGTTTTAATAAATAATAAACTACTATTATTATATTATTAAAGTTATACTTATTGAAGAATAAGAAGTAAAAATCTATAGTAATATATTATTAGAGTTTATTTAGAATAAGAAGCGGTTATAGTAGTCCTAATAGAATATCTTTAAATGCTTTAATTCTTTTATAAATTTAATAATAATCTATATATTATTATATATTTTCTGTTATTCTAAATTAGTAGTAGTAATCAAATAGTATCTATAAAAGCTTCTTTATATTAGGATAGATTATAGTAGGTTATTTATAGATCTTATTTAATAATTATATTTGTAGATCTCTATTATTAGCTACTATTAACTTCTTATTGTATTATAGAAGACTATTTTAGAAGGTTCAATACTTATTATTATTATAAATTTTATTTTAATAATCTTTAAGACTCTCTTCTATAAGATTTATATATTTGATATAATTAATAATATTTGATATATATTAGCTAGCAATAATAATAGGAAAAAAGTTTATTAGTTAATGTTTTTTCTTTGTCTAGTATTTGTTTAGAAATAAAATATTTAATTTTAGATTACTTTTTTTAGTAATATCTTTTCTAGAAAATATATTTACTACTATATTCAGCTTCTCTAGTTAATACTAAATTTGTAATCTATATTATTCTAATAATTAGTTCTATTAGATTTACTATATATTAAACTTCTTTTTCGTTCAGAACTATTACAACACTTAGTAGTCAATAAGCATTTAGAAAGGATCTTTTTATTATAGACTAATCAGTTCTACTTCCTATTTCTTTAATATATAGATAATTGCAAACAATTCTTTATTATAAATCTTATACTTCCATTCTATAAAATCTATGATTTTAGATATATAGACTATCAAATACTATCCATTAGTATACTTCTATAAAAACACTATACCAATTACCCTATCAGAAATATTAGATTCCAACCTTATTTCTATATTTAGATTATAGTACATTAGTACAAACACTATTATTAATTACTTCTTAAACTCCTCAAACACTGCTTAATATAAAGTATTCTAATTCTATAGAATGGTTTCCTTAGTTAAATATACTAATAATTTTACAATATAACTATAATTCTTAATAAACTTTTGATAGAAATTACAGAATCCAAAAAAGAATTATATACTCCTCACTATTATAGATTCCTTTCAATCCTATATAACTTATACCTTCTCTAGATTAATAGAGATCTTTTAAATCCCTACTAAAAAGCTAAAGAATTTAATCTCTTTAATATAAAACTTATATTTATTAAAACTAATCTATAGACCTACTTTTTATAAATATTTTAAAACCTTCCTAACGTATTTAATATATTCCTTCCAATTCTTACTGTAAATAAGAATATTATCTATATATACAATAATATATTTATTTAAATAGTTGTTTAGAATAATATTAATATATTTCTAGAACAAGACAAAATTATTTATTATTCTAAAAGATATCACTTAATATTTATAGAAACTATAATAGATTCTAAAAGTTATAAAATCTTTAGAATCAAGATTCATTTAAATTCTATAGAACCTCTAATAGATATTAAATTTAATAAAATAATATATTTTATCTATTTGTTATATAAATTTATTAATTAAAGACAAAGAATAAATATCCTTTTTTATTAGTTAATTTAATCTTTAATAATCAATACAAAAATACAAGCTTCTATTAGACTTTTTTATTATTAAAATCGAAGAAGCAAATAAAGCTATACTCAGAATAATAAAATCTTCATCAAGATTCTTAGTAATATAGTTTTTTACAAACTATAGCTACTTTATAAATATTTTATATAAAAGATAGTATTCTAGAATCCATTTATCTATTAGCTTTATCTTATAATCTATTCTTAGTCTAAGTAGAAGTAATATATTAGACTCCTTTTTAAAGAATATATTTATAAGATTATAATATTCCTTTGAAATCACTACTTATATTATTTATAGCTCTAGATCTAATTTTAATTAATTATTAATTATACTTTAAATCTTATTTATTATAATTACAAAAATTTAAACATCTTTCCTCTAAATAATTTATTAAAATCCTATTCCCTCAATTACTATAACTATAAAACTATTAAAATCAATAATTAGATTTATCTTTTAAAAACAAGACTACTTACTAAAAGTTCGAAAGATTCTTTTTAATACTTGTTCTATCTTAAGTAATATATCTTCTTTATAGAAGATATTATAATCTTTATAATACTACTATTAATCAAACTATAAATCTTTTTATTTGTAATCTTCCTAGTATTCCTTTAATATAATAGGATCTAATTGCTTTAGAATTTCAACTAAAATCAAATATATTAACTATATAATAATCTCTTCTTTTAGAAAATTAGTCTCTATTCTCAATCTTTATAAAATTAACTATACATAAGAATGACACAGTGAATGGGAGGCTAGATATGGTCGCCTCGGAGGCCATTTTAAGCCTTCCACTCACCGTCTCTAAACTTGGCATCATGTGCATTTACGCCTACAACCGTCTCTCTCTACTGCCATCCATGCTTTCCGTTGGCTGTGTTTGGTATCTGGGTCCGACCGAGATTATTTGTGCTATAGTAATTGCCGCTGCGACTCGTCCTCAGTTATCCTCCTGAAGGAGAGGAACTGCAAATAGCTCTCCTCCTTGGTTCCCTTCTTTCTTTGGTGTTTATA